ATTCTAGACAGTTTATCAGCTAAAAGAAGTTAATTTTGGGGTAAGTTACTCTTTAAGTTCTTTTAGTTAAACATAGACATGTTTGGTATCTACAGAAACATCAGAATCTTGGCTAGAAGCTGGTAAAAACCATTTCTATAAACACTCAAGACAGTTAAAACTACAAGCAGTTTAAGATAAAATGATGAAAGTGAAAATAAAACTGGTCTAAAATTTTGGCAAGTCAGAGATGTCAAAATATTATTTGTGTCAAACAGGAGGCAGAATGTGTTCTTTTTGTTTTTGATATTGTTGAATTATGACCACTTTTATAGGGTTCTGTATGTTGTATTCATGATTAAATATAGCAAAATAAACTAATTAAAAGGTAACAGATCTTTGTAAHACTTGGTTTACTTACATAATAACTTTAATTGCTGGATGTTCGGCCCCTCAGCTGTTGACCGGCAGTAACTGTGGCCCCCGAAGCAATTTAGTTGAATAGCCCTGGTGTAAAATTATATATGTGCATGTGTGTATGTATGTATATGTATATATTTATGTATGTGTGTGTATATGTATATATGAATGTGTGTATGTATGTGTATAAATATGCATATTTTTAATTTTTTTGTTAAATAGGGGCAGATATTACATGATTTTTTTCTTCTTCTGCTTCCTTTCATTTTATGAGATTTGTGGGGGTTTTTTGTATTGAAATAAAATGAAAATGAATAAACTATTAAACTATAAATATGTTTGAGTAACTGAGAAAAACTACGATTTTATCTCAGCTTGTATACATTTCTTGAACAAGGAACTGAATTTTTTTTTACATGAAATTTTAAATGTAACCCATTCAGTGGATTACCCATATCTGTATTGGTATTGGTCACCAGTATAAGTACTTATAAAAATGCTGGCATTGACCAGCACTAATGTTTTGCTAATAGACAAACAACATTGATGGCAGCACAAATGTTGCACAATGTGAAGTATGTGGGAGTGTGTGTTGTGATTAAGTCTTAGCCATCACCACAGCGAGAGACTGGTTTTCTGTCGGAGCTATCTTGTACCAGACTGGCTCCAAAAGTTAATCAGTTGTAGATGTACAAACAATGATTTCTTCCTAAGAGTTTTAGTAGGAGCTGTCCACTGGCCCATGAGATATTTTAACTCACAAACTTGTTTAGAGACATGGGCAAAAACATTTCTGCCTTTTGCCTTTGGCTTGGCAAAAAAAAAAAAACAGTCTTGCCGAGAGTTCATCATCAGTTTCTCAGAATGAAACTCTGCTCTCCTCAAGTGCCAAACCAACAAATGAGACGTTGTGTTCATCCAAAGCAGCAGGCTTGGACAAAGAACACACAACCCCTGATGGGAAGCTGTTATTCCAGGAGAAATAACGAACGGCTGCTGCAGTCGCGACGGTCGATACAGAGATGCACTTCCTGCCTGCCTCCATCAGCCAATCTCCATACTTACCCCAAAAACAATGGCCGCACAACAGTCCTTGTTTTAAAGCAGAAGTGAAAAATTAGGACAATTTGTTGCAGCGTCAAAAATCCACAGTGTGTGTTTCATGCTAAGCCGGAGCACGTCCCACAGTAGAGAAAACCCACAACATTTAGTATGTGAGGTTTTGTGTGCCTGTTCTCTGTGAGTCGAGCCAACAAACATCAGAGGAGGGCTCGTTTTCTGAGGATTGTTAAAAGTGTTTCTTTAGCTCGACGGTGATGGATGTCAGACTGCAGCAGTGAATCTGTGCTCGGCCATTTCCAAAAGCTTTACACCAGGGCTATTCAACTAAATTGCTCCGGGGGCCACAGTTAATGCAGACCAACAGCTCAAGGGCCTAACATCCAGCAATTAAAGTTATTATGTAAATAAATTATTTGAAAGATCCATTACGTTTGAAATAGTTTATTTTGCTGTATTTAATCATGAAAACTTACAGAACCCTACTTAATAAATGTAGTGACGATAAAACAAACAAAAAAGAAACATACTATGCCTCTTAGTTACCACAAAATATTTTGACATCTCTGACTTGCCAAGTTTTTAAACCTATTTTATTTTCACTTTCATATTTCTATCTTCAACTGCTTGTAGTTTTAACTGTCTTGGATGTTTATAGAAATGGTTTTTACCAGCTTCTAGCCAAGATTCTGACATTTCTGTAGATACCAAACATGTCTATGTTTAACTAAAAGAACTTAGAGTAATTAAAGTAGAAAACCCGGGGTTTGGGCTTAAGGGATGAATGAACCAATTGGCGGGCCAAACTTTGGTCACTCGCGGGCCGGATGTGGCCTGCGGGCCACCAGTTGAATAGCCCTGCTTTACAGTGTGGCATCTGCACTCACAAACCAGAGACAGACAACATGTCTGAGCTGTGTCTGCAAAGGACAGGATGATTATCACAAATATAAAATGAATTATTATTTGCAGCGTGCAATGATCCTTTAATTATTAGTTTTTGACTAATTAAATTCAACCCAAAATAAAAAAAAAAATGTTGGGCATTTGTGTAAAATGCAAACAAAAACAAAATGAAGTGAGTTGCAAATGCCATGAACCAATACTCTTTTACAATTAAACAGTACACATATTGGGCCTCATGCAAGAACATGTTCGTATTCTTATCCTAAATTTCTCTGACTTTTGTTCGTACAAAGGGTTCGTACGAACATGTCACGTCAGATTCAACAAACTCTTCTATCTTCAGGAAAAGTGCGTAAATGAGCTGCGTAAATTAAACCTGTTCGTATCCAGCTGCTCGTGCACGCGAGAGGAGATTAGCATAATTACCACCCCAAAAACACCATATAAGGCTATGTTTCCTACCTCAGACAAGGAAGTGTTCATTCATGAGAAATGACAGCGATAATTATAAAAAAGGAGAAGTTTACGAGTTCAGAGATTAAAGTCCATCTGTCAGAGATCCAGAAAAGAAAATCTGTCATTTTTAGCAGGTCAGCTGCTGTCTGGCAC